TAATTTCAAATGAATAATCATACATAGATTTACGAGTAAAAGTATAATGTTGGTTGTCGTGGAACTTACCTCAAATCACGATAAATCCTAGCTGAATCTTCTATCCTCAATCTTCTCCAAATTCACCTTCTAAAATGTTAAGAATCTAAAATCAACATCAACTTACTAAGCCAATTTTCCCTCTTACGATTTATTAATAAGTCATCTCTATACTAGTCCAATTAAGCCAATTTTTTTTTTTTTATTAACATCTATCAATTCAAACTTATCACTTAAATGGTACGTATCGTAGTATTTCATTTGACCAGCCCACATAAGATACTCCAATCCATCCTTTAAACAAAATCCCCAGTCCAAAGGTTTCTAAAACATCGATCTACATAAAACAAAGAGTTATGTTTACGTACGTACTCCAACAAGTGATCGTCTTCCTCGTTAATCCCTCGCAAAAGTCCCAGCCGGCATAGCAGTCAAAGACGGAAATGGACAGCTTTCCTTGCGGTAGCGACTCAGGTGGACACAGTGGCGGCAAAGGCTCGACGGTTCAACTTCTTCTTGTCTGGCGGCTCTTTCTCCGGCGACTGGTTCAAAGGCTTTCTGCAACGTCCCTTTCAGGAAGATATCTCTCCCGCTTCGTCCAGACAGAAGCTGAGACAACGACTCCTCTCTTCAGTAGTCCGGCGGTACAATACGAACAAATGGGTTTCTCCGGATGAACCAGCAGAATATTCCGGTGAGATCCAAAACAGTGGCACCCCTTACCGCGGCGGCGGTCTCCTCTTTCGTTCTACGCTCCTAACAGACAGGCTGCCGACGTCTGTTTGTTCTGGTGCAGTTCGAAGCTCGCCCCATAAGTTATGTATATATATATATCGATCTCAATGGCGGCGACGAAGGTTTAGAGTTCAAAGGTGTTTTAACGCAGGTTTTTTTTTTTTAATCATAACGCAGGGTTATAAACCGTATATATATGTAAACCTAATAGACCATTCTAGATTTTTCCATTAAATAACCTTTCTTATTTATTTCCTTCAATGCTCGTTCCGTTTTCTCCCATAAGCGCGTTGCTTGGAATCCGGCGTGCGAGGAGTAGTACGAACATATCATGTGTGCATTTCATCATATATATCAATATATGTACTTAAATTATTAGTTTACATAGCTACTTTTGAAAAGTCAACATTTATATATTAATTAAGTGGTATTATTATTAACTACCTAGTATTATTACGTGTGTGCATATAAAAATGTCACATTCCAATTTTTTTTTATCTTAATAACAAGACTATTTTATTTAAATTTTCGGGATGTCACATGCACCATGGTGGTTGACAGGATTCTAAGGCTACCCGGAACGTCAAAGAAGACTGGAATCATGGGATTTGTTACAGGAGTTAGCTAGTGCTAACAATCTTCCTTGGGCTGTTATGGGTGACTTCAACGACATTATGTATGATCACGAGAAGAGAAGTCGTTGTCCACAACCCCCTCGGTTGTTCTCGAGCTTTTACAATGCAGTTTGGGGGAGTAGTTTGGTAAATTTCCCTTTCGATGGTTACCAGTTTACGTGGGAGCGAAGAAGGGGCTCCAGAGGTTGGGTGGAAGAAAAACTTGACCGGATTCTTGTGAACGATGGGTGGTTGGCTTATTTGAGAACGTTTGGGCTACCTCCATTGGAGGGAGTAATAGCGATCATCTACCACTTTTCTTTAAGTTTGACCAGAGCACAACTTGTAGGCGTCGCTCGCGATTTAAATTTGAGAACCACTGGTTGAAGGAAAAAGATTGTCGAAACGTGGTGGAGCAGGCCTGGGATTCGAGTAAAAAAAGAGTGTTGGTAGAAAGACTTCAATTTTGTGGTGAGGAACTAGGCAAATGGGGTAAGCATCTTCGTCGTGGATTCCAAAGAAGAATTGACGGTTGTAAACGACGTATGGAAAGACTCCGGGGCAGATCGGATGTGGCAGGTCTGGCTGACTTTTCCAGAACTAAGGAGTGTTATCTGGAGCTACTTGAATAACAGAATGCTTTCTGGAGGCACAAAGCGAAGGAATTTTGGCTTCAGCATGGAGATGTTAACACCAGGTACTTTCATAACTCAGTGAAACAAAGACGACGGAAAAATTCTATGAAAGGTTTATTCTCTGAATCAGGTAACTAGGTGACAAAGAAGGATGACTTAAATGATATGATTTTGAATTATTTTACAAATATGTTCACTAGTTCGGGAGCTTTGGGCCGTTTGGATTTGGGGGAGTTTCGGACCAGGATTAGCTCGGTCCAAAATAATAGATTGCTCCGGGATATCTTTGAGCAGGAGGTTCGAGATGCGGCCTTTAGTATGTACCCCGATAAGGCTCCTAGACCAGACGGATTAAATCCGGGGTTTTTTCAAGCATTTTGGGATGTTGTGGGTTCTGCAATTGTGACTTTTTGCACTAGTGTTTTTTATAATAATTGCATTCCTGAGGGAAGTAACGATACTACTGTTGTGTTAATCCCAAAGAAAGATAATCCGCTTAACCCAGAGGGGGGACTGGAGACCAATTGCTTTATGCAATGTTGCCTATAAATTTTTTGCTAAAGTGCGAGCCAACCGTTTAAAAGGTTTGTTGGATGGAATAATAGCTGAAAATCAAAGTGCTTTTATCCCAGGCACATCCATTGTTGATAAAATTATTGTGGGATTCGAGACCCAACATTTTTTGAAACGGAAGACTCAAGGAAGAGTGAGATTTGCAGCACTCAAGCTGGATATGAGCAAAGCTTACGACAGAGTGGACTGGGGTTTTCTCAAATTCATGATGGAAGCATTTGGTTTTCTCAAGTAGGATTTATTTAATCATGTTGTGTGTCACCACAGTTAGGTATCACATTCAAGCTAATGGAGATCTATTAGGGCCCATCATGCCTACTTGACTACTTGAGGGATTGGACAAGGAGATCCCTTATCTTCTTATCTATTTATTTTAGTGGCGGAAGGTCTCAGTGCTATGCTTAGGAGAAAGGAACAAGAAAGGTTGATACAGGGCATTCGTGTGACTCAAAAGGCACCATCTGTGTCACACTTGCTTTTTGCTGATGATAGTTTTCTATTTTGCAGGGCTATTGAAACATATTGTCTCGCTGTAAAACAAGTCCTTAACACCTATTTTGAGGCTTCAGGTCAGCTAGTTAATTTTGACAAGTCTTAATTTCGCTTTAGTGTGAATGTAGCTTGGGATGACAAAGATTATTTAAGCGCCATTTTTTAGGTGAAGGAAGATAGGGGCGGCGGGAAGTATCTGGGCTTACCGGCTATGGTGGGGCGGAAAAAAGAGATATTTTTGGCTATATCAAGGAGAAGGTGGTATAGAGTATTCAAAGCTGGAACAGTAATTTTTATCGAAGGCGGGACATGAGGTCTTACTCAAGACGGTAATCCAAGCCATGCCTGAATACGGTATGAATGTTTTTTTACTGCAAGTTTATATCTGTAATGACATAGAAAAAATCATGAATGCATTTTGGTGGAAGGGGCATGCATGCATTTAAAGGGAAAGGCATACGGTGGAAGACTTGGGGTGATCTTTGCTCTCCAAAATATAAAGGAGGGATGAGATTCAGAAAGATTCGGGAGCTCAACATAGCAATGCTTGGAAAGCAAGTCTGGATGCTATTAAAAATCCTAACTCCCTAGTTGGAAATATGCTTAGAGCCACATATTTTAATGGTGGTAATATCTTGGATGCAAAATGTGGGCACAATCTGTCTCTCATTTGGAAGCATCTCAGAAGCGATCCCTATTGTGAGGGAGGGGCTTATTTCTCGCATCGGAAATGGTATTTCCACGAAAGTCTGGAAGGACAAATGGCTCATGACAATGGATGGGGATAGGTGGGATGATGATATTCTGGTGGATCTTTTTTGCATGAAGGATAAGAATTTAATCCGTAGCATACCTCTACGGAATACAAATGGTGATGATGTTCAAATTTGGGCGGACGATCCCAAAGGGATTTATTCTGTGAGAAGCTGTTACCGGAGGATGACTAAAGACACGCGCCCAGATCAAACATGGGCTAAGGTATGAAATTTAGTTGTCCCGCCAAAGGTAAAGGTGTTCTTTTGGCAGTCATGCACGGACGGTTTGCGTAGCAAACAACGTCTCATACAACGACGGGCTCACTGCACTTGTTGCGGGATTGCTCGTTGGCGGTTGAAGTCTGGCGTCAAAGGGGATGGCAACAACGAGGTTTGGCAAAGACTTCAGTTGGAGAATGGGCAGCAGGTATGTGTAGCGGGTTATCTAAGGATGAACTTTGTATTTTTGTTATTACTTGTTGGAGCTTTTGGAAAGCCCGAAATGACAAAACCTGGACAAATAGTAGCTCGAATATATGAGAGTGGTGTTATTGCTTGTGGCGATGCGGTGCTGGCGGGATGGAGGAATGCACAGGAAACAGTGATGAAGACGTGCACTCCGGCAGACAGCCAGAAGAGATGGGAGAAGTCAGAGTTGGGCTGTATTAAAATTAATGTTGGTGCCGCTCTCCAAACAAATGGTGATGGGCGTGGCATTAGGCTGGTTGCTAGGGGCGATAGTGGGCAAAAAGTGTAGCACCTATTGAAGACAAGATGCAGGAGTTGCGCCTATGGTGGTTTGGTCATGTGCGTAGAAGACCAATTGATGCACCTGTCAGACGAGTTGAGATGTGTGGAGAAGAGGCAAGGAAAAGAGGGAGAGGAAAACCCAAACAGACGTGGGTTAGGGGAGTCCGAAGTGATATGCTTATATGCTTCTTCTTGGGTTAGATGATGGTATGACTTTGGAGAGAGCAAAGTGGAGGGCGGCGAGTATTCGTATGGAGGAGTGATCTCGTATTATCTTTTCCCCTCATTTATTTTTTCTTGTTTTTTTAATCCTTTTATCCTTATATATATAAACATTATTTTAATCCTTTTTATTTTATCATTTTTAGGTATATTCATCTCTTTTTATATTATCTTTTTCATAATAGCTTATCCTTTTTATCTTTTTTTTTGTGGTGATATCATGTATCGATTCATGTTGGCGGACCCCAATATCTTTTGGGACTAAAGCCTGGATGTTGTTGTTATTGTTGTATCATGGAGGTGATGGCGATTGAAGAGGCAGCTAGGTGGGCTGGTTACTCGGGATGGCAAAACCTGATGGGAATAGTACAAAAAAGGTATCTGTTGTTTGGGCCGTTTTCAGATAGGGGCACATGTTTCGTTTTTTAACAAAGTGGGACATGTGTTTCAATTCCGTTATCACATCAAGGGCACAGCGTCTAACGTCGTTAGAAAATCTAACCCCGATTTCCAAAAGTCTCTGAAACATTAAAAGAAAAATACTGGGAGGTGCGCCTCGTCAAGGAGACCAACAAACTATATTTCTTTTTTTTGTTTCCAGCCACCATGTCGCCAAAAAACCCGCTAAAAAAGTGATATTAACAAATTCATTTTTAAAAAATAATCCCTACATGTGGAGAAGCTCTCACATGGTTCGCGAATAGTCTCGCTCTTTTCGAGGAGGTCTATTCTATGTTTAGCCAGAGAGTGGGAGGGCCGTTTGGCTATGCGGAGCCTCATGAGAAGGTTCGACGATGTATGGTTGGAAGTACTTTGAGAATTTTGGTTGTTATATAATATAATCAGTTTGTATTATATATGCAGCAGCAGCAGCAACAGCCTCCCTCTAGCTTCTACAATGACCAAATGCACGATGAACTTGAAGAAATGCTGGTGCACAACAAATGGTCTGAGCTATGGACAGATATAGATGAAATACAGCGAAGAGCATACCTTCGGGAACTCCTAGCTAACTGTGCTGCTGACGTAATTCTACTTGGAAGAGATGAATTCAAGGAAGGAGAAGACTATGAAAAACCTCCCAAGGAGCTTGAATCTATCATCAGACAGACAGCGGCTCAGATGCCCAGAAGTGAAAAGCCCTGGGATAACGTGAATGTCAATGCTCCCTTTCAAGAGGAAATCGGAAAGAATATCTGGCGAAGAGAGAAGACAAAGTCAAAGATCTGGATGAGTTGAAAATCCGAGGCCTTAATCATTTACGAGGGAACAACAAGGGCGGACAATTATTCCTGCTAAGCCATAATTACATGGGGAAACAGAGAGAGGTGTGGCAACATGAACTTCAAAGTGCAAAGGATCCAGTTTGGGCCATCCTCAATGTAGCTGAGACAAATATTCAAGATATCAAACTCTCTGTCTATCATCTACAACGCTCCAATGGAACTGAATTCACATGCAAAGAAAATGATTTCTACATGCTAAAGATGGATGACGTCTATCAGATGTATCTTGCATTCCAAGAAATTCCCGGGACTCGAGACAAGATTATGCAAAATGGGTTTGATGCACTCAAACGCTTTATGATCAGACAAATCAAATTCTTTGCCTCTCATGATCTTCAGATGGCTCTTGAAACAAACATGCCAAAGACAAATCTCACAAGACCGAAGCTGTATGGACAAGAACTTGAGGACTTTCCTGAGTACTATATCTTTGATAGTCCAGTCACACTTATCTATCTGAATCACAATGGCGAGAAACGTATGCTATTCATTGATGAAATTAACAAGTACTGTGACGGAACTCTGAAGATTGTGAAAGAGAAGCTACAACCTATCAGAGAAGCGTTTAAAGAAAAACAACAGAAGTATGCAGATGCCACAGATGCTGAATTGAAAGAGGCACATAGAGTTGATAACATTCTGCAGGCTATCCAGAAACAACTTGATAGAAGAAATTCACTCAGGAACTACGAGCACGCGCTAAACCTGCGCAAACACTATTTCAAAGCTCAGGAGTGAAAATACCCAGCAAGACGACACTTGACCACAAAGGGGGAGATTGTTAGAACTTTTATTGTGAGTCAAGTTTGTCTGTAATGTCTTGTTTAATAAGGTAGACTAGTTATACCACTTATGGTATTAGAATAGAAATCATTTTGTAATAATTGGGTTAAAGGGAATAAGGCCCAAAAAGGCCTTGGCCCAAACCTCAAGGTTTACCTAAATCGGTAACCTGTACAGCGCCTATAAATATGCGCCTTGTGTACAGGTACCGATATCGATCAATACAACTCTTAGCCTTACGCTGTCAAAATAGTTCTCGATATAATAGAAGAAGAATTTCTCTGTTCTCGATATTTCTTTATCATTATCAGATCTTCTCTCTTTCTGTTTATCGATGAATATCCATCTAGCTAATCGTTAGTCTGCATATACTGGGACCAACACAGTTTCCTTTTAAAAAAAGTAGAAATAAGCACATGAACTATGCCTAGTGAAAATATGAACCAACTTTGACGATAAATTTTTATGCATGGCCATATGAGTACGAAAAACTAATGTTCCTTGCTCGATTAATTTAGTGAATGCTCTGATTCAATAACTTTGCATATTTAATAAAGAATTGAAGAATTCAATTAATAGCACTATGTGTTATGGTTAAAACAAGTAAAAGTAAGTAAATACAATGCACCATTCTAACTCCTAATGTTTTATGCTACAAAATTTTATTAGTGTAAATATGTAAATAATATTACGTATGTTACTTGAGCTAATGTCTATGGTATTGTATCATTTAATTAATGTATTTGTTTAAATTAAATTAATTAATGTACTATGTATGTGTTTACGTGTATATTGTTTTAATACACACACACATAAATTAATTCCGGTCTAACTGGTCCGGACTGGAATATTCCGGGTTTGGGACCAGACCAGAACCAGAATCGGTACAACAATTGGACTGGAGACCGGACCAGTATCTATCTGGACCGACCGGTCCGGTTTGGTCTGGACCGACCGGTCTCAATCCTACTAATCATGCATTGAAAATAAAATAAAAACATAGACATAAAAGTGCATAAGTAAAACTAAAGACTAAAACTAATTTAAACAAAGTAATAAATGTAGAAAAACACCCTAAGAGATGAGACACTATTCATTTCTTAGGTCATTGTCTTCGTGTAGTATTTAGAAATCAAGACATTGTGAATGTCCTCCTAGATGGTGTAGGATGTTGGTTGATGTTTAGGGACCCGTCCTCTTACTGCCCCTTCAAAGTGTTAGGGAAACATTTCAGTTTTAGATCATCTTCGCTCAGCTTATTCCTTGAAATCCCTTAAATGAACTCATAAAACTCAGTGACAAAGCCTAAAGGGATCTCCCCCTACTGCCCGTAGAATTGCGACATAAAATTGAAATTGCTATTATGTAGCTCGTAATCTCATGCCACCTAACTATGCACAATGCAAGATGGCATAGTCGCAATGACAAACAACCACTTCATTTCATTGACTGTGAACATCATTTTTGCTACTCTTCGTTTGTTCTTGCAAATATGTTCGCACATCCTCTCACTTTCAAGGTCAAGGGTTTTTAGGTTCTTAAATCCTTGACTTCTCAAGCGCATGAAAACACAAGGAATTTATGCACATCTAATACTACACAAGACCAAATGAAATGAAAGAGAATAATCGAGTCGTTTGGAATTTATAGAAACAAGCTATTCTCCATGCAACAATGCCAAAAACTTGATCAGACTTAACTTGTAATAATACAAGTGCTGATTGTAGTAATAAAGAGTGAGAAAATATCGGGTCAATTCACAAGGAAGCGTTTGTAATTATAAAATTCAAGATATGAGTTCTAAAGTATATAATTGATATAAAGTGAAGGAATTTCTCTTAATACCAGATTAAAAAAAGAACAACGATTACCAGATCATCAAGATTCTCCTAAAACATTTACTACTCTCTCCGTCCCATTTTACCTGTCCTACTTTCCTTTTTGAGTTGTCCCAAAATAAGTGTCAGCTTTCCCTTTTTGGAAAGAAATATGAGGTTCACAACATTTCACTTTAATATACTTAAATCTCAACCAAAATTTTTACCTTTTCAACTACTTTATTAAAAAATATGCCAAAACAAAATGGGACACATAAAATGGGACGGAGGTAGTATATGTTAAAACTAGTTCTTTGTTAATAATTATGAGTACGGCGTCACTAGTATATTCCCGACTCTTATTAGGGCATTGAGAATGTGGTTTCATGACGTGTAAGCTAAGTCCCGTTACAACTAACATTCATATATCAAAAAACCCCGTTGAATATCCAGACATCACACACTCACCGTACAAAATCAAATATATATCTATGCTCGATACTCGCATGTTTGTCCTTTAGTGTTAAACGTTTAGACCTCTACGTTGATTGCAGGTTTAAACTAAGTTTGATACATTTATATGTTGATCGCTATAGTCATAAACAATCAAAATGCAAAAGATAAATCATGATTTATTGGTTCAGAACTTTTATTAAACACAAGTGGGCATAGAGGTTCACATATAGCTTTAACTTATAAATTGGCCTCTAGTGCTCATACTAATCACGAGACAATGTTTAGATGTAATGAAATATGAAAATAAAAGGAAATAATATATAAACACCAATATTTGCAGAGGATGATCTTCAAACTCCAAGAAAAGACCAAGAACACAAATATCAAACTAAGAATTATTACAATAACCGAATGATGATTAAGGGCTGGATAGGAGAGTTTAAAAATGTTAAAGATTGACAACGGGATTAGGGCGAGGGGAATTCTTTGACGTTGAAGATCAATTTTACAATAAAATGGATTCGTGATCCTTAGTCAATATGTGATGAAATTCCTGAGCCATGCTTCCAAATGTCACCATTCATCTTCAAGAATAAGTTGCGTGTCATTGAATTTTAGCAGTACTAAACAAGGTTGGCGCGAGTTGCATGTGCGTCCAATTTTGGTTGCATACAAGTGTCTAACCAGCACTAATTGGTCACATGTCTGGTGCCCGTTGGTCATTCAACCGCATTTACATTTTTTTTATATCCTTTTTTGGCATTTTTTTACTCCCTTTATCTTTTGATCCATTTTCTTTACTTTTGGCTGCTTTTCACATTCTTTGTTCAATTTGGGATTTGTATATGTTTCTCTTTGGGGTGTTTGGAACTGATTCTGATTCTGATCTTTTTTAAAGCAGAAGTAGAATCAGAATCAGTTTTCAGAAGCTGGTCCCCTAATTTCTAAAAAAACTGATTCTAGGAGTAAATTAGAGTACCAGAATCACTTCTGCATTTTCACCCAAACACTCCAACTTCTGCTTCTGCTCCTTCTCCTTCAAGAAACAGATGCAGTTTTAAGAATCATAATCGCACTTATGATTATGGTGCTTATGCTCCGAAGTCTTGTCGTGAGGTGGTGTGACCCGACCTGTCGAGAATGGACCGGCCCGGTTGAGGGACTTGTTGAAAGCGCTACTTGTTTGAAGGTTCCTGAGACCGGACCCAGCCTATACAGTCACCGACCATCCCTCCCTGCTCCCGACTTCATAAAGAAAAACCCCAAAGCGACATTCAGTCGCGTAAGGAATCAACAATCAGTTGATTGACAAAGCGTGAAGCTTAAGCTTCAATAGATAGCGGCAAGAAAGAGCGATGGAGGAGAGCAGAATAGCTAGCAATGTGGCTGCTGCCATTGTCGCTGCTCTCGACTGGAGCTCTTCTCCTGATGCCCGCAAAGCTGCCCATGAATATATCGAAGCAGTGAGTTATTATTATTATTATTATTATTATTATTATTATTATTATTATTATTAATTATATAAATTATGCTTTAGTATTTTTTTTTTTTACTTCGGTTGAGCTCAGTGTGGGAAGTTGGGGACAAGCGCCGAGCTTTATATCCTGAAAAATACGTAGCAGTACGGACTAATAGTACTTACGCGTTTTGTAGGTTTCAGATCTTTTCCTGTTGAATAATATCAATTCTTACTACAAAGAATAGTATCTATTCTTAGGTGAATGCTATACTTGGATGTTCGTAACTGGTGAATGTTAAACTTGGAGTTAGAAACTCCTGATAAAGAACATTGCTAAGTTGAAGAAGAAAAAGAAAAAAATTGTTAAAAACCAACCAATAAACATCTTTTTGTCCCCAAGCTTTATAAAAGAAGAACATAATTGACATCTTATATATTAATTAAGTTGTTTAAAATTAGCAAAATAACTATGGGATGTCATTAGAATGCAGTGAAGCTATTGTCACTGTTTAATAATGAAATACTTTATGACTATTTTTTACCCCTTGGTTGCAGACTGGAGATTCTGTTTCAGTTAGTGATGTTTGACAGATGATAACATCAACTATTCCATAAAGTACAAAGTCATTTTTAATCGAAAAAATGGAATTTGAATATGTTAAAAACTTGATATATAAAAATAAAGATTATAATAGATTTCCATATATTGGATGAGTAGTGATTTAGAAAGTTAGGACAGACGTAATAATGTCTTATTTCAAGCTATTGCAAACAATTTTTACAATCAGGCATGAAGGTTCAGGCATGGTCCTGTTCAAGGCTGGAACTGCGTTCGTCTCTTTTATTAGAGTTCATAACAGAACTGAAATTCCAGTCTGAAATCAAAACTGGTGTTGGGATAATCTAATTCTAATTAGTCCGTAAATGAGCCAAAGCCGGACAATTACGGGTTGGATTTTGTTTTTTCTTCTATGAATTACAATTTTCCTATTTATAACTATCAAATATGGGGTCCAGAACTAGAACTGGCAGGTGTATAAACCAAAACCTGTACCAGTTAACCCGGTTCCGGTAAAGGTTTTTCAATATGAAGAACCATATTGCTATAAATGTTGTTTCTTACTTCTTAGATGAAAGTTCATAAACTGCTTTGATGTATAAATATTAAAGATATAACACTAAAAGTGGCATTCTTCTGTTCTCTGTTTAAATTCACAAGAAGTTGCTGTGTAAACTTGTCAGTTGCCATCAATATTCATAAGTTTTACCCTCTCAACAAATTTCAAGGTAAAAGCAGGGGATGCACATGTCTTGGCAAGTACGTTACTTATTTTGGTGAGGAAAGACTGGACTTCCACAATCCGACTTCAAGCATTTAAGATGCTCCAGGTCAGGTTATGATAAATGTGTGGTTAATGTTGTCACTTATTCTTAGTTTCTTAGTGGTCACATTTGTCTTGAAGTCCTTAACACAATTTCTGTGCAAGAATTCCAAG